ATTATTAAATTTAAATTAAATTATAATAAAAAAAAGAATTAAAGAAATTACACAAAAAACAAAAAATTTTAAATATTTAATTTGATATTAAAATCGATATTATTTTTTTTCAAAATTTTATGATACCTTCAAATTTATATTTTATTCAAAAAAATAAAAAAACATTATCATTTTTTCGATACCACATAAAATCGTATTATAACATCGACGGAGACAGAATAAAATGAAATATTAAAATCGAGATGTATCTCGCTGCATTGTGCGAGTACCCTTCTAGTATTTAAAAATACATTACAAGATATACTTAAAAATACATTTAAAAATTAATTTATAAATAAAAATAAAATAAAAAATCATGCCGGTTCTAGCCGGGCCTTGTTTTCAGTGGAATATCGTAACCGGCCCAGACTGCCGGTCCCCATCGGTCTCGGGCTGGGCCGGTCTCGGTTTCGGGGACAAGCCGGGGCCATTTGGCCTTCTGTAGTTGTAACAAAATATATTAGGTTATATTGAGCTTTACTAAGTCTTAATAGATCAAATTGGAGTTAAATGAGTCATAATGGGTATTAATGGAGCTTGATGAGTCATATTTGAACTAAAGGATCATTACGGATCTTAATGATGGAGAAGGTCGTAAAGACATAGGTGGAGGTGGTGGTGGTTGTCGAAAGACTTGTTAAACCAATGGCTTATAGTTGAACCACGATGTATGAGTGTATATGAGTTTGGTTGGAAGAGTTGAAGCATTTAAACAATCCAAGTTATAAAAAGATTTAAATATATACGTTCAACTCAAATATTAGAATTAAAATTAAAATTTAAAAGTTCCAATTGTAAGAAATACATTAAATCAATGACAATGACAATGACAATGACAGTTTCGGACATCTCCAACTTAATTTCCAATTCTTCTTCCTTCGAGTTTCTTTCCCATCTTTCTTTGGTGGTAATCTCTTTGGGCAACGTATAGCCACATAGAAATATAAACATCAACTCACAAACGAAAACATATGAAAATACATAATAAAAGCAATGCATAGAACTAACATGTATATAATAATATATGATCGACAGTTCGACACTATATATGTTATTGATGGGTTGTTGGGTTGGATTGATCTAAGCATAACCCAATTTCAATCCCATTCGTTAGTAGTTTGACGGCTTGGCGGGGTCGAGTTTAATTGAGTTATTTATGGGTTGGGTTGGACGGGTTGGTGATCTGGTTGAGTTTTCGGGTGGCCGAAATGGGGAGATATTGATTGATTTGAACATGCCATTCAGACGGTAACGAAAGGAATTGATCATGATTGAACCGGTTTTGTAACATTTGAATCGATCCGGGGCAAATCCAAGAAATAACAAACTATTTTGTGAAAGAGCTAGTAAAACGGGCTCAAAAGAAGCCCAAACTAGTGGTGAATATTGAAATAGGGAGACACACAACCACCTACGTGATAGGGGTCGCTTAACAAGCCACGTAACTACGTGAGTGGTGGACAAAAAGTTGCAGTCGATCACCCATTTATAAGACTTAATTTATATGACCAAAAAAATAAAATGCCCTATCTAAAAGTTTTATAATAAATTTACATGGCGTTTTTGGATGTTTTAACAAATTTTTAATACACTTTTCATACAAAAATGTCGCATTAACTATTTTATAGGACACTTTTGAGAAAGTGTCCTATAAACTTATCTTTTTATAGGACACTTATATTTTATAATTCATTTTTTCAAATAATGTCCTATAAAATAACTAATATGATGGTTTTTTTTAATGAAAATGTCCTTAAATAATTTTACGACGCCCAATAAACATCATATAAACTTGTTACAACGTCTTTAGATAAGACGGTTTATTTTTTGATCCTATGAATAAAGTGGTATAGCCAGTCTAGAAGATTTAAATTACTCCCTTCTAACTTATTTGAAACAACTTATCAGCTTTGAAAGACAAATTTTCTTTTTAGCATTTTCATTAACCCAATGGTTTGATATATGATACAATCGGCCATTACACAAACCCTATGATCTCCGATTCTCGGCCAAACCGAGGCCGCTTATTTCTGTAAATCCTCTCAATCTTTCACCCTTTGTATCTTTGGCAACCCAATCCGCGAAATTGACGGTGAGTGTCCATCTTTGTATGATTTCGGTTCGTAACGTTGCTTCTCCCGATCGTTTCTCCTTACTGTTACTTATCGAAGTTGATGATACTAGTCTTGGTTGCTTTTTACTCTTTCTTCTCCAAGTCGTTGCTTCTTACTGTTGCTTATCGAAATCGGCAATGATTTTTCGTTTTCCGGTACATTTTCGAAAATTACAGTTTATTTTAATCTATTTTTTTTAATTCGTTGTGGTTAGTTTTGCTGTCTTTTCTTTGTTGATGTTGGGGTTCTGTTGCCGTTGACATAACATTTTGCTTTGCTACTGAAATATCTACTGGTTTTTGGTTTATATAATTGCATTGTTGATATTATGTTCATTTTTATGTCATAATAATAATGGTGCCTGATGTAGTTTGAGTTTGACTTTAAAGGTTAAAAGTACCAGGAGATCTAGAGAGGTTCAAATGCGGTGACTCCAGGCTATCTGCAAAGCAGGTGGTCATCCTGAGATTAATCAGCTCGCATAGCAGGTTGAATATCCAGGTTAATAAAAAAATTGTTAAAAATATCAAAACTAGATTTTTGGTAGTGTTTTTAGATATTGGACCAAGAAACAAGTAGTTTACTCTTATTGTCGACAATACATACATATATGTAGAAAAAGAGTCCCCATAACTAGAACCATATACAATGCATGGATATATGAACCACATGATTACAAAATATCAGACATAACGTCTAAAATAAATCAGACATATCACATATGTGCTTTAATTAATTTTGGGTACTATGTTTACATGCATCAAAAACAATCTACGAAGTTAGATATATACGACTGCCTGAAATAAATTAAACCAAACCAACATACGATGCATTTTCGACTACCATTTTTGGACCATAAACTATGGGTTATTGGAGGTTCAGCATCCATCAGCTTCATCTACACAAAAAAAGCAATTTTAGGACACATCCAAGATCAATCAAGAAGCATATCTCCAAATATCCGCAAACCGAACCAATTTCAACCACTCGTATCACCAAATTGGTCCACAGATTGCTTCAAATGTTCAAAGTACTTCAAGGACACATTGTGAACATCTTCGATCTTTCTGTTAGTTCGTGCCTCAAACAATTACTTCATCCGTGTCGGTTTGGCCTATTGGATATGACTTGGAACCCATAGTCACATGTTGGAAATCAGATGTGCCATCAACGTCTTAAGAATTTTGTCTACTAATTGAACGATCTAAAACTTTTTTGATTCATAATGAAAAATGATACAAATATATATATATATATATATATATAATTAGCGTAAATTTTATGAGCTAGTATAGCCACAAATCTTAGACCATGGAATCTTGGTTAATGTGGATGTTGCGATTTGCCTAACACTCATTTAACTAACCACATGTTCTTGTTAGGAGACATTCCAGACATCCAAGATGCCCTAAACTTGGCCACTTTTCAAGAGCTTATGCATATAAATACGGGCCAATTTCTAGCTAGATTTGCACTACAAACATCTTTCTGCTAACGCCTTACAAATCTAGACAGTATCAAGAAAGAGCCCATTAATGATGATGACAGCTAGGAAGCTCGTGAAAATGGCTAGAAAATGGCACAAAGAGGCATCCAAAAGCTGTTGTGCAGAAAGAATGGCAAACAAGGGTCATTTCGTTGTTTACACAACTGACCATACTCGTTTTGTCATCCCATTATGGTATCTAAACACCGATGTTTTCAAAGAGCTTTTGAGGATGTCTGAAGACGAGTTTGGTTTGCCAACAGATGGACCAATCACTCTCGTTTGTGACTCCATGCTCCTGAGTTATTTGATCAATGTGTTTGAGCGAGGCTTGACTAAGGAGTTGGAGAATGTGCTCTTAGTTTCGATTT